CATGTGACGTTTAAGGTCCAAGTTTCGAAACTGCCAATCAAGATTCCGTGTGAAACTGGACGGTGATGAATATGTCATCAAGTCGTACAAGATGCTTTACAATCCTCCGTGCAGTAGTTCATTCATGCTTTGCGATCCGTGGACCAGAAGGTTGTCCGCTGAAGGAAAAGAAAATCTGGAGCCCGTGATACTACAGTCATCGTCAGCAGATGAATTAATAGAAAGTTTTAAGGACAGAACGGGTAAACATGTTACGGCAGCTGATGTGAAGACTATAAAAGCTGAACTCTCCACAGGTAATTGTGTAAAAGTATATTTCAGGTTGTTATACACGAACGCAAGTATTTGATGTATTGCGGCAAAATGGTGAACTAAGAGTGTATTCCAAAAAATGGATACATCACCAGAATCTGCTTTAGTACTTATGAGCAGATAGAGTTATATAACAAATATCCGGAAGTAGTTTGTATGGATTCTACTTACAACACTAATAATAAAAAGTATTTTTTTTCCAATTACGCTTTGTAGATATTCTTTATTACTGTTAGTAATAACGGATAATTTCGGACGGGGACGTCCTGTTTTGTTTGCATGGACCAAGAAAGAATTTCGATCAGATGTAACTTGGATTTTGGATAAATTCAGAGAAATTATGAGCAATACGTCAAACACCCAGACTTTTGTTATGGATTGTTCACGAGCGGAAAGCGCGGCAGTCCGCATTACACACTGTAGTGCAAATATAATTTTATGCGCCTTTCACGTATGTCGCACTTTTCGTAAAAAGGTACAGTAATCGCGATTTTTATGAAATTGCCTTTAGACTCGTGACAAAATCTTGAGAACTTACCTGAGTAGGTTAGTAACCGCTGAGACTGTTGGAAGGTATTATGTGAAATATATTTATTCTGCAGATTTAACCAGTATTTCAGAATTATTAACCAACGAGATAAACAATTAGGTCATTATCTCCAACGACTCTGGATGCCTCGTAAACATTTGTGGGCCGCAGCTTTTACCGGAACTGTTTTGACGCTGGGTAACAACACCAACAATCGTGTTGAGTCATTAAATCGTCAACTGAAGAGAAACACACGGAAAAGCGACAGTTTGCCCAAGTGTATATACAAGGTTTTTAAGTGGAACGCACTAACATCAGCAAGAAAAAATAGTCAAGGAAACAATAATAGCCAACAGATGTTGTATGAATAGTGCCCCAAAGCGATTAATTCTGTTGTTTAACCAACTTACTCTCTTTGCACGGACGAAGGTTTCATTGGAACTGAAAAGAATGCGTTTCGTTAATATTGAATACGAAAACGGCGATTGGTTGTTCATGATTGACTGCGGCAAGCATTATAAAGTAGATGCAGGCACTTGAGAGTGCATTTGTCGAACATTTATGACTTGCCGATATCCTTGTCGCCATATACTACTGACATATGTAAGAAGACCAACTCTTTCAGGTAAGAATTATCAATTACGAAATAAATAAACTGATTAGCTCATCACATTCTTAGACCATGCAGCCGATGGAAGTTAAATAACACACTTAACTTCCATTATAATACAACAACATCATTACCGAGACGGAGTGAGGCGTATGTCCGGATTCAAAGGACCCAAAAAATCCTCAAACGACAGATAATTGAAAAATATGGTGAACACTTCGCTATGGTGTTGGATAGGAAAGTAAACAATTATTACTTAAAATTCGTCAATAACTAGGTAAGACTGCAATTTATCAAACATTTATCTTCGTGCAGTCCTTTTTACTATCGGTATATACGGATGAATAATTGGAGTGGCATTGTTTCCTAATCATATGGTCTCCGGAGCCAAGGATATAATAACTAAAAAGATGTAACACTTGGAGAAGGTCGGAAGTGGTGAACGTGGAGATATTCAATCGAATGGAATGACTCAGTGTTGCAAATGTGCTCATTATGTTAAACTTATTTATATTCACATTAAATGTGTTATTCTATACCAAGCATGTGTTCTTCAGAAGTACTAAGTATTACTGTTAGTTGTCACGATACGATGAGTCCGTGTAGATAGTGATGCGATTTTCACGTAAGATCTTACAGACTAGGCAATGAAACGATAAATGTACGGCTTTCGGATGTCTATTATCAAAGTAGTGTTAGTACCGAACTAGATTTAAAGTGCGAAAAACTACAGTTGTTATATTTATATTATATTTAGATAACTTATTAGGTGAATAAACGCGGTAGTAGTCAATACAAAACACATTTATCGTCAATGTGTAAATCGTTTCTCCGCAAAAACTTCCATATTACGAAATTCGCCAAGTTGTTCACCTGCATAGATTTGATGATTACAAAGATTTGAGCCTTTAAATTAGTTGACAGAAGTCATAAGTTGTATAACAGAAAATGTATGGATAGCTTGCTCAATGCAATTCTGAAAAACAACAAATCAATCGTGAAAGAAAAGACGAAACCTCGTTATCAGTATCAAATTCAATAAGTAAATGAAATAGCAATTGATAGGATGTACCTGTAAGTGTTTTACTTACTGTAAACAGTGCTCTTCATTTTATAGCCTTCCTACAATTTCATCTAGTTATTCGGTGTTAACAAACAAACTTCAGGCATAAAATGAAGGGACTCACAAACATTAATTAGTTATATGAAATTTAAGAAAAATCCAACTACAACGTTCATAATACTGTTTGCAGTTCACTCATTACGTACAATAAGGCGGCCTGCTTGAATCCCTGGGCTACCTGTTTCTGCCATCTAAATATTTCAACAAGTTATCTAGGTTTTTTTAAATTTGTTTTAACCTATCATTATGCCTCTTGATCGCATAACCTATACAGGCGCGTTTATGAAAAGCCCACGTCCTTTCGCTGCAAAAATTACAAACAAGTACAATAAGAGACATCGTGGTGTTTGGCAATATGCTTTAAAGAGAATAAACATTAATCAAATGTCGATTCCCGAGCTGCCTAACTCTAACTGTCGATCTCTAATTAACAAGGTGGACTATCTCCGATTTCTGCTAAGTCAAAACATGTATCGTAATTGTGGTGTCATCAGAATTCAAGAATCTTGGTTGACTGACTTACAGGATGATTGCCTAGTATCATTACGTAATTTTAATATCTATCGTCAGGATCGATCAAACAATAAAAAGACCTGTGGTGGCGCAGTAGCTACTGGTTTTATGTTTGTTTTTTTTGGTAAAAAAACTTGTTGAAATAACTCGTGCTGAGAATTCTATGTTGTACCAGATAATAATATTGAATAAAGCCATTCATTAATAAAATTAAAAAAATAATAATAATGAAATAACTGGAAAGCACTATTTGGCGATTACTCGTCAACATGGATTAACACTTTGTTTGTGATTTGGTCAGTGATTTCGGATTCCGTTAACAGAAAATTATATATTAAACCTATATGAGACATCGTAAAATAGTATTATCCACGACATGTCTTAGTTACCATGCTCATCACAAACACGCATCGCTTTACTTAAGAAGAGTATTTGGCAAACTTATGTGGTACTAACAGTAATGTTCTACACAGTTCCTGTATAAGTTCAGAAAGCCGACAGAAAAATCTATCAACGCCAATTGTTACTAACATAATTTTTCTTTCTCACATTACGTAATAATATATCAGTCCAGTTGACAACGATGATACTTATCATGGATTAAACTGTTTACGGCTGTATATTAATAGTAAATTGTTTTCTTTTCTACTGCATACATACCGACGTAATTAAACGCCCACTTTTAAAGCGCTTCTGTATTTACCCCAACCGCCTGTGTTCGTCTTCATTCCCACAACACAGCACACGAATAATGTAATGTACGTAAAATATGGTATAAGTTCCAAATTTTTATTAAAAACAAAAAGCTTATTATTGTACAACGGTATGAGCAGTTGGCAGATGGTAGAGCATCAATGTTCCTGATGTAATTGCAATTGTAACGGACCAGGCATTTCACGTATTGTTTCTTTCCATCAGGCCTGTTGGGCTATGGAGACTCAAATAATTCTTGTGAATTCTAAAATGTAATGAAGAAAAACGTTACTATATCTAGGAAACTTGTTTTGCACAACGAGGTACTTGAAGCTGAACTTACGGTTATAACCTTGAACACGGAAGACTCTACCTGTAGATAACGGGAAAACAATAATCAGTTTAAAGTCGTACGTACGTGTTCTTTCTTCCGTCGATGACGCTTCTGTACTTTGTCTCTCATGTCGTGAAAATAACTTTGCATAGCCATGTCATATAGTTTCGAAAGGTCTTTTTCGTTGACAAATGACGACAGAAATCGATTAGTAAGTGCACCTGAAATTTAAAAACCTTATTTATCTTACTTCGTACGCAGCAATAAAAACGGCACTTCTGAATCGCTCGTTTTGATGAAGTACCAAGTTGCGTGCAATTAATGGCAACTTCAGGTTTCATGATGTAGAACAGAAGATATCGCATGGATGTTTTAGGATCATCATCCATTAAACGCCTCAACATGGCCATCTGTGATAGGAATGAAGGATAAAAATCATGTTGTGTGCTTACAAATCTGTCCCTCACGTGCAAAAGAAAAAGCGACATTTCCCCTTTATTTACGCTTTCGTCCGTTTTATTTCCCCTTTTTTCGCTTTTATTTCCACTTTATTGGTTGTTTGGGTCACTACCATAATAAGGGAGGTAAGTCATATGTAAATTATTTTACGGCTTGTTTTTGCTTGAAACTATAATTTCGGTCTATTTTTGACTTGATAAATGATGAATTTCACTTTCCTGAGTTTGCATTGTTACAAATTACCAAGTTAGGCTGACTAAACATTCATCCAGGTTGTCAGCTCCAAATACGTTAGGCAACCAGTAGACTGCAATAAACACCATGTAACAAGCATAAATATTACAAAAATTAACATGTGACGGAAAAATACTGCGATTAGTCGATAAAAAACGATGCTAGAAATCCGCGACAACATGTTACACATAAGCGAGAATCAATGACATAACTTTTCGACCATGCCGTGGTTAAAGCTCCATCAGTGGACACTCTAAAATAGATGTTGGATTAGCTGAGAGACCATCAGTGCCCAAGACTAGCACAAGCCACCCAGTCTCCTGTCCTTTTTTGTCTGAAACTTAGTTAGGCCGTTCAAGGTCGCGGAAAAAACCGCGGTTGTTTCTGAAATTGGTGTGGATTTTTTTCGTTCTGTCTCCTCAGCCTATTTTTCACAAAGTCATACGATGGTGAAAGCTGTTTGTATTATGACTGGTGCAGCTGGCGTAAAAGGTGTTGTCAAATTCACTCAAGAAGTAAGTTAGTTACAGGCCGCTATTTAGATGGAGTGTTTTTTTTCTACCGGCCATTTTAGGAATAACCACTTTATGATGAGAAATTGTTGTGTTTACGTCAATTTATCTGTTTTCAGCATTAAAATGGGTGATTATTATGAAGCGGATAGGGGTATTAGTGCACAGAATTCCTAGATAGTGAATTTCAAGACAGTTCTTATAAAAGGCAGAGCATGTCACTATTTTACCGTGAAAATGAAAAATGTTTATCTTCAAATTCCATATCACACATATCCACACCGGATTTTCTTAAGGAGTGTCACCAACGTTTATCTCAGGTTCACTTTCATTTCTCCGTTCATTCGTGAATCTTGGGTAGTATTATTCAAATTATCGGTGATTTTCCAATACTTGTATAGGAATATCTAAAGGTGGTGAATGTTTAATTGAACAGTAGTTGCGTTATCATTCTTGTCTAAATCAGAGAACCTGTAAGCATAGAGATTCTTGTACCATGATTATATTCAAGCCAACTCGACCGGCTCAGTACTGACAGAATCCTTACTCTAGATCATTCGGTGAGCAATTTTTATGAGGATCAGTCTTCAGTAATAAGGATAGTAGGTTGATGAACCTGTGTTAATCCTGACAGATTTCCTTCCAGTGAAGGTCCAGCTTCTTTTTGAAAATGTTCACTGATGGTGCTGATACCACTTGTTCTGGTAAAGCGTTCCAGTCATTGACCACTCGGTGATAAAAACGGGACCCCACCTTTAGTTTATTAGATCGCGGTTTCAGAACCTTCTTGCTATGACCCCGGAGATTATTAGTGCTGGAGGGAGCAAAAAGGTAAGACATATTAACACCCAGATCATAATTAAAGATACGAAATGCCAGTATAAGGTCACCTCGCGTCCTACGATAAGATAAGGAGAAAAGATTTAGACGTTTTAAACGCTCATCGTAAGGGAGTTTGGAAAGACCCTCTACTAATTTTGTCCCTACACGCTGGACACGCTCAAGCGATTTAGTATCCTTTATCAGACAAGGGCTAGCTGCTTGGATACAGTATTCTAAGTGTGGCCTTACATAGGTGGGATATAAAATTCGAAACATATCCTCGTCAAAGCATTTAAATGCTCTGCGAAGCGACCATAGCGCTCGATAGCCTTTGGAAGCAACCGCATTGCAGTGCGTAGTAGTTTTTAAGTCGTGACTTATAATTACTCCTAAGTCTTTATGCGCATGAACGCGTGGCAGAGATGTACCATTAATGGTATAGTGGTAACTAATATCGTGCCCGATGTGCATGAACACGCTCTTCCTGGAATTAACTTCCAGGCCCCAATCATGAGCCCACCTAACTAATTAGTCTAAATCTGCTTGTAGATAACAACGATCAGTCTCATTTCTTATTGTTCTCCAGATTTTAACATCATCCGCAAACAATAACGTCGACGACTTAAGTAATAAAGGTAGTTCATTAATATACAGAAGGAAAAGTAAAGGGCCCAAGATGGTGCCTTGGGGTACACCACTTCTGACCGATTTCCATTCGGATAGAGTTCCATTGACTCTCACTCTCTGTCTGCGGTCACATAAGAAGCTTCCTATCCATTCCTGTATAGCACTTGTTATACCAAAGCTCGAGAGCTTTTGCATAAGACCTAAGTGTGAAATTTTATCAAACGCTTTGCTAAAATCTATAAATATCACGTCGACAGACTGGCCGTTGTCTAGGGCAGCTGTCCAATCCTCTCTCGCAATGAGTAAGTTAGTCAAGCATGAATGCTTGTTACGAAACCCATGTTGCTCGGGAGTTAACAGATTGTACGAATCTATGTGGCTCAGTAGCTTAGCCCGAATTAATTTTTCAAGTAACTTAACTACTATACTGGTCAGGCTAACAGGCCGGTAGTTAGATACTATCCGTCTCTGACCATCCTTAAATATAGGACTAACTATGGCGTCTTTCCAGTCTCTAGGTAGTTGAGCCTGTGAAAGGGACATGTTGAAGAGCATCTTGAGCGGTCTTGAGATAATGTCCGCAAGCGACGACAGCAAACGTGGGTGTAACCCATCGGGGCCCGGTATCTTACAAGGTTTTAGGTTAGTTATCAAAGGAAGAACTATATCCTCTGTCACGTGTAAAGGTCCTATGGCTGGTATCTCATTGTCAACGGGACAAGTAGTTGTAACACTACACGTAGAGTAGACTTCACTGAAATAGTTAGCAAATAACTCCGCTTTCGCTAGATCAGATTCAGCCAATAAAGCTGAATTTTCGCTTAACAGTAAAGAGGGGATACCAGCACTACGTTTCGTCCGCCTTTTAACGTACGAAAACATTCGCTTCGGACAGGTACGGCTATCGTATGCCACTTATCTTACTAACAGGTTGTTTACAGTATTGAAAGGACTAAAAGCGAATGTCCGAAGCTTTACCCGGTTCGCTGGACACGGAAAATTCATCTAGAGGAGTTGAAAAACCCTGATTTTAAACCAATGGTGCATATGGGCTCCAGTATCCTGAGGGAACAAATGGTGTATGAATCGATCGTTGGTCACCGGCTACCATGGGACTGCATCTACTTACGATGCTCCACTGCCTTGTGGATTAGACCTTTAGGTCAAAAACCACCTGCTTCAGTTTGGGCATCTTGGTAGTATCACAGCCCTCACACAAATCAAACGAGATTTGTGCGTCACATATATATTTGGTGCTTCTTTGTACCAATAGTTATGTGTTTAAATAAATGCTAACAAGTGTCAATCTGTACGGACTCTTTATTTTTCTTTGTAACTCAACTTTTGAGTAGTTAATATTGGTACTAGTGTACAGGATAATTAGTACTTTTGTGTCACAGCGTCGATGTGTCACTTATGTTACGGCAGTACAGTGGTATCACGAAAAAAGTTTTGGAAATTAGCTGGAAAGTAACTTAGACTGTAGCAAGTTCATGAGGTTTGATATAGAAATTCCAAAAAGTAGCATTTTCAGAAAGTAGAAGACCTTCACCTCTGTAGTTAGAGAATAAGTTCATTCAGATACTACCATATATATTGGGGACTGGTAAGTTTACAGATGCTTTGGAATATAGGGATACCAAGATCCAGTTGTCCATCCACAACATCTCGTGAATCTCTCGAATAAGGTCCATATTAGCAACATAAAGAAAGCGTGGGGGTGTTTGAAAAACTATTTACTCTTGTATTAAAATTCCATAGATAAAATTATTTTCTATTATATTGGTAAATTTCTATCAAAAAAATCCTTGGTTTCAAAAAAGATTGACTTGTGAATATGGAATTCATTAGTGATTTATAAATTGCATATACTTGTTAGTTTATTTTTACTCAACGTGTTCTAGGGTTTGAAGATGTTATTCAAGGAGTATAATCCAGGGAAATAAATTTGGAAGGAGAAAAAAGAAGGGGATATCAAGAATTCAGAAGTTTAGAATTTGCGAGAACAGAGAAATTGGATGCACCTGCATCATTGCAAACGATTTTGAGCCATGTCATTCAAACCCGTCCTTTAGTTGGTAGACAGATATCTCGCCTACTCCATAAATGACGCAAGTTGAGCCCTCTGTATCCGTGCTGATATTTCGTCACACACCAGACCACAAGGGCCGATGGGGCTCAAGATGAGTGAAGCGGTCGACACGCTTAACACGCTCAACATTTTGCATTTCGAGAGGGGGAATTGCATCCCAGACGTGCTTGTATTGTTTCAAATTGGCAAATTTATGACGGAACAAGGATACATCAAAAGTATTATGAAGAAGTGAAAGTAGTATAGTTATGATCAAATGAGTTAAGAAGTGGATGTTGGAGTTGACATTCACCGTCATTGCATCTATTTCAAGCCATTGAGGTTGTGATGTACAAAACCTCCCTGTACATTAAATTCTAAAGCTACACATGCTAATCTACTTTGCTCTTACCAGTCTTGGGATTTTCGACCAGAGGATATTCAGCCATTCTCTTCACATGATTTCTCATTTGTTTTTAATAATATCAAGGTTTTCCACTGTAGTCTTAGTTCATTAGGGTTTTTTTCGCAAAACTAATCTTGCTGCTCAAGATTAATATAAACGTTATTTACTGATGTTAGTACTGATTTTAAAACCAGTGGATTTCTAAGTTTATTTCACTTATGGATTCGCGTAAACTCATCCCATCAGGCTCTGAACACGACGAAGAGCGTAAAGAAATTAGATCTAGGTTAACTAAAAGTCTAAGGAACGATCGTGAGCAGTGGTGGGCAACGAAAGCAAAAGAGATGGAAAAGGCAGCGGTTGTAGGCAACACCAGGCAACTATTCGGACTAATAAAAGAAACCGGGATTAAGAAGTCAAATGTAAGTGAGACGATCTCGGAAAAAGATGGAACCCTTATCTGCTCTCAACCCAAACGTTTAGAACGATGGGCGGAACACTTTAAGGAGCAGTTTAGCTGGCCTTCAGCTACTGCCTAACTACCCACTATTCCCAGAAAACCTGAATGGAACATTGAAGTAGGCCCCCCGACCCTACTTGAAGTTCAAAAGGCTATAAGTAATCTGAAACGAGGAAGAGCAGCTGGTCCAGATGGATTGGCTCCAGAGGTCTTTAAATGTGGTGGTCCAATTTTAGCGATTAGGTTGACTAATATTCTGACTAAAATCTGGGAAACGGACGTAATCCCATCTGACTGGTCACAATCTTTGATTGTCCCAATATATAAGAAGGGGTCAAAATCATCCTGTGATAACCATAGGGGGATTAGTCTGACTAACATAGTATCTAAAATACTAGCCTCAATAATTATTGGGCGCCTAACTAAGACTCGTGAACTGCAAACACGAGAAAATCAGGCTGGATTCAGACCTGGTCGTGGCTGTATCGACCACATATTCACCATTCGTCAAGTTTTAGAGCACAGACATGCTTATTGGCGTCCGACAATGATAGTTTTTCTTGACTGTCATATGATTTTACAACCTCAAGTGGTGTCCGTCAAGGCTGTCCACTATCCCCATTTTTGTTTAACTTCATTATAGACCTGTTGCTGGAAATAACACTCATCGACTGAATTTTCAGGAATTGCTCTTCTACCAGGAGGTTCACTTATCGACTTAGAATACGCAGATGACATAGTCCTGTTTGGTGAAGACACTGACAAAATGCAGAGTCTTCTGTTGGAACTCAGTAATAATGCCAGGATATTTGGGATGCGTTTCTCCCCATCCAAATGTAAATTGTTACTCCAGGACTGGCCTGCGTCAACACCTGAACTAAGGATAGGAAGTGAAGTAGTCGAACGCGTCGACAACTTCACTTATCTTGGAAGTCTGATCAGCCCTAATGGGTTGGTGTCTGACGAAATCTCAACACGGATTCAAAAAGCTCGTTTGGCTTTTGCCAACTTACGTCACCTGTGGCGAAGACGAGATATCCGTCTATCAATTAAGGGACGAGTACACTGCGCAGCAGTTCGCTCTGTTCTAATTTACGGCTGCGAAACATGGCCATTAAGAGTAGAAGATACTCGTAGGTTACCAGTATTTGACCATAGATGCCTTAGAAATATTGCTCGCATCTGCTGGGATCACCGGGTAAGTAAGTAATAGTGAGGTTAGATGCAGGGTATTAGGGAATGATGGTAAATCAGTTGATGAGGTGATGAATCTTCATCGACTGAGATGGTTGGGCCACGTGTTACGTATGCCTGAACATCGATTACTACGACGCGCAATGTTGACTAGTGTAGGGGATGGTTGGAAGAGAGTTAGGGGCGGCTAAACCAAAACATGGCATCAGTGCTTGAAGTCACTAACTTCTAGTCTGATCCATGTTGTTAGATGCAGACTAACTGGTTGGGGTCCGCGTGACCATCGTAACCAATGGTTGGAGACTCTGGGTGACGTGGCTCAGAATCTATCATAATGGCGTAGGTGTATACACTCTTTATCTTCCCTTGAACCTTGAGATTAAAATTGCTTCATAACTTTTTTCCTTCCTATACTAGATCCTTATATACAACCTTTCTTGATATACTACCACCACTAAATTAATTTTATGAATCCGGTGTTCATCTTGTCGTGCTAACGAGGTATGGCAACTTGAACTGATGCATATGTGCCTGGTCGTACGTTGTCGCTGACTGATTTTGAAGATACAAAGATAAGTTTGTGATATAATCTTGTTGATTAAACGGTTGTTATACTGTGATTTTTCCATAAAGCAAACTTTTATGGGGCTTACATTTAAAGTTAGTAGTTGTCATACACCATCTTAATTTTTTTCCACTAATTATTTGAAAATAAAAAAGTAGTAAAATTGACTTTGTATAAATTCTTATGGAAAATGTCTTGTCCGTGCTTGAAGTTTATTGTATCGTCTTACATTTTTGAGAGGTTTACCACCAAGCATTTCTTTTACATTCTTAGACTGATAACGGACCTGTTCATGTTCACGCCGAATTCAGTGGACTCAAGGCTGGTAAACATGGCTTTCATGTTCATGAATTTGGTGATACAACAAATGGATGTACTTCAGCTGGAGCTCATTTCAATCCAACTAAACAAGAACATGGAGCACCGGAAGATAGTATTCGCCATGTTGGTGACCTGGGAAATGTTGTGGCGGGTGCTGATGGAAACGCAGTTTATAACGCGACTGACAAATTAATATCTTTGAACGGCTCTCATTCAATCATTGGTCGAACTATGGTTGTAAGTATTGATAATCACTGTCGTAGTTATTGTATACTATTGGTTATAATTCAAAATTCCGTCAACATTGATGTTGCGTTTGAAGCGATTACGATTTCCCTAGTCTGAGAATGGAACAAAGACTCTATGACCAAACACCAAGAAGCTAGCTATTCTGACGCGTCCCAGTCCCACTAACTAGAGTGAGAAGTCCACGTTCGAAGTGGTGAAATATATTCCGCAAGCAGCCAGAAGCACAAGCAATACCGATCACTCTAGTCAGAAATACGCGCATTTATATGTTGGTTTGTACACTCGTTTTCGATTAATAATCAGAATAAGTTATATATATGAAAAATAATTCATACAAGAATGTCATATGTTATACATAATAAAAAGTCATAGGCGAAAACGAAACAAATGCTATACTGGGTGATCATCAAATTGAATTAAACAGAATTAATTTTGAATAAAATTCAATGAGTTAATCAAATTTTAACCTTTTATTTCGTCATAATTGAACAACTAGTAAAGTTGATCACAAAATTCCGATTTTTATATAAAGAGGAAATATCTCAATCTGTTCCAATAGTTACTTACTTGATATATATGAATTAATTCGTAGAGAAGTTTCATATATGAGCGTTAACTGCTATTTGCAAGGAATTTTTTTTATTGTGAAAGCTGGAATTTGTCATAAAACTACATTTATATTCATCAGAATAGTCGCAGTTAAGCCGTTTAGCTTTCGGACACGAATTCCCAAGTTTTTTTGAAGATGTCTAGAGATATTAATTTTAATGACTGATAGTGACTGCAGTTCACAAGCAAAGATTTAACTCTTAAATCGATCTTGGTTTAGCGATCGAACATTAAAATGTTCACATGTACAACTCATGATGTCGGCATATATGTGGAAACCATCATTCAATTCCTGGAATGGATTTATGAAACTGTAATGAACGTTGCATAATGACTACCGCTAGACCAGTCTAGACCAGTTAATCCAATTTTAAACAAGTCTTCATATCTGCTTCATTAAAGTTGATCCGAGTTTCGGGATCAAAAATAACACCAACTACTGATATCAACAACGTGTTAGCCCTATTTGAAGAATCATTCATTAGTGACAAAGTTTGGTGCCTAGCGTTTCAAACAGCGGCAACTGTGTGGTTTGAGTGCGTTTCTGTTGCGGTATCGATGACTTGATTTCATCAATTCAGAATGACATGCTCCAAATTATCCCCGTCTCTACTTGTTATAACCGCAATAAACAGCTGCTTAAAACAGGGAAACACTGTAGTTCATACGATGCCATGACGACTACAAAGGTTAACAGCAAATGAGAATTTTATTCATCCTTCACAAAGGTGGTAACCACTCTAACCAAAATACACTCGTTTATGTATAGATTTGACTGGCGTTTGTATTTAGAAATACCATTTTATTAGAAAAATCCTATTCCGCTTGGCAACTGTTATATATTCTAATATCAGTTCTTTGTAGGCTTGTGTTAATAATTTGATTTTCTTAACGATTATCACTCTGTCGTATTGTATCAGTAAATATCATCTATCGATGATATTGAGATTGAGATATTTCCTCTTTATATAAGAATCGGAATTTTGTGATCAACCTTACTAGTTGTTCAATTATTATGACGAAATAAAAGGTTAAAATTTGATTAACTCATTGATCGATGAAAATTGCATTCACTTATCTAAATAATGAGTAAAATTATTATCTAACATGCTACCACTTAGCTGGTATGTTTTATTATTATTGTTAAGTTTATACATATTACTGCTTGAATAAATAAACTCAGTCACCAGGTAACTGGGTATGGCCCACAGTAGTTGTGAGGGTTAAAGATATTTATTATTTTATTTAAACACATAAATATTGGTACAAGGAAGCACCAGATAAATATGCGCCTCACAAATCTCATTTGATTTGTGTGGGGGCTGTGATACTGCCCAGGTGCCCAGACTGAAGCAGGTGGTTTTCTTAGGGGACCACACGCGGAGCCTTTGACTTGAAGGTCTAGTCCACAAGGCAGTGGAGCATCGTGAGGAGATGCAGTCACATGGTAGCCGGTAACCAACAATAGGTTCATACGCCATTCGTTCCATCAGGATACTGGAGCACATATGCACCATTGGTTAGGAATCAGGGTTTTCCATCTCCCCTATGTGGACACTCCACAATCACCAACCCGGTTGAAGCGCCGGACATTCGCTTTCCGTCCTCTCACTTTCGTGAACAACACCCCCGCCACGAGAAGGCAGTAATTAGGACTTCCCTGACAGAGGCTATATATATTCGCGTGGCCATGTGAGAGCATTTCGAGAGGGAGAGCGGACTCTCCCCACTCGGCTGTACCAGGGCATTTGGGGGCGAGGGTTAACGATACCTGCCGGTTGCTCAAGTTTAAGTGAAGCGGGGTTTATACTAAGACTTTATAGTTGCTGGGGATGCTAGATCCCCGAAACTCACTTGATAAATGTCTCATTTTTGTAATTCTATTTTGGAAATTTGGATTTCCTGTTTTCGCACCGGAAGCGCCCATTTCCACCTTCATATCGTATTTCCCACTTAAGAGGACCTTAACTGTCATTGGTTCGCTGTCCCTCTTAATATGTCATTTTGTGACATTTCGCAAGGACATTTTTATGCTGTATATGTGCGCTTGAGGTGTGTTTCTTGTTGTTCGTGCTTTTGGCTACTTGTGGAACCCATCCTCTCTCTTCTGAACCTGGACTTCTCTTTCTAGTTAGCGAGACTGGGACGCATCGGAATAGTTAGCCTATTTGGTCACTGTGTCTCTGAGTCTTCGTTCCGTCCTCAGATTTAGGTAAACTCGTAATCTCTTCAAACGTACCAGTGGTCGAAAACTAATTGTCTTAACCATTAAACCACTGCTCATGTTAGCGTCAAGCCATAGTGGGAAACTAATTGTGAACAAATGTTTCACTCTATTAGTTTTTACCACGTATCTAAATTTAAATTTCCGCCTTACTGAAATCCTTAACTAAGCATAGGGAGCGAAGTAGTCGAACGCGTCGACAACTTCACTTATCTTGGAAGTCTGATCAGCCCTAATGGGTTGGTGTCTGACGAAATCTCAACACGGATTCAGAAAGCTCGTTTGGCTTTTGCCAACTTACGTCACCTGTGGCGAAGACGAGATATCCGTCTATCAATTAAGGGACGAGTACACTGCGCAGCAGTTCGCTCTGTTCTACTTTACAGCTGTGAAACATGGCCGTATTTGTTATTTGTTCATTTCTATGTTATTTAGTACTCCAATACCATAGAATGCTATAAGTTGTAATCTCTTTTATAATTCATCGGTATTTATGTAAGTATTTCGTATCTTTAATTTAGATCCATGAAAATGAAGATGATTTAGGTCGTGGTGGTCATGAGCTCAGCAAAGTAACTGGTAATGCTGGTGGTCGTTTAGCTTGTGGCGTTATCGGTTTAGCTGCTGAGTAGAGTGGTAGATTTATGTTTTTACGTTTTTCATGCCTAGTCTCCCTGTGAAACAGTATGATCATTATTGTCAAAAAGGAAGTTTTGTGTTCCAAATCATTCACAAATAAAGTTATTACATATAATTGATTTATTCTTTCTGTACCTACTGGACACGATTTTTTTTAACAGAGCTGATTAATCAATAGTTGCATACTTGGCCTTCGATATTTGTATTTATCGTTTGTTTCATAGTTGATATAGTTTGCTGTTGATATGCTTGAAGCTAAATCGATTCCGCGGTAGCGAACGAAAGCCAATGACACAACGACACGATAAGCTATTCTTATCTGTTGTCCCAGGCCCCGCTAACTAGATGAAGAAGTCCAAGGCAAGTAGGGGAATATATATGTATTCCGTAAGCAGCCGAGTACAAGCAATCGAATAAGGGAAAAAAGTCAAGCGCATTTAAACAGCAACAATTTGTCCTTGAGCATCATTAGTAAATAGCACACACAAAGAAACAATGGGCCAATAGCGTCTAAGATAGTTTACAAGTGGGAAATATGACGTGAAGGTAAAAGAGCGCGTTTGGCGCGAAAAAAGCTAAATTCAAATTTTCAAGATAAAATTACAAAATTAAGCCATTTACCAAGTAAGTTCTGGGGATTTGACATCCCCAACAGTTGTATATTTAAACGAGTCTTCTGCATGATTGTCTAGACTTTATCAGTTCATATTGGGAGTGATAAAACTATTTATTCAAGTAAAGTAGTTCAACTCCTTAATTATTTCACTAATTGTCTTCAAACTAAAGGTGTCCTGCATTCTCGATAAGTACGTAACATTTTTAAGCTTTTATTTAATGTGTTCAGAATACGGTTTCAGTATTTCTTAGTACTAATATCAGTATTTCTTTCAAGGTCAGTGCCTTTTGACAAAGCAAACGTTATTTTTAGGTCATTGAAAACTGTCTTGTATGTTTTTTTCAGTGTAACAGACCTTGTACTACCTCATTTTTATCGATTAATTAAAATAAAACTCCTTTACACCAAGTGTGAAAATTTTTAAGATTTAATCTGTTGTTTAATGTTTATCAACATACTGATTGAATGTTTATTCGCTGAATGTAAACATTAACTCAGAGAAAAAACGTAACTTAAACAGATATGTATATTATCACATTAAATTCAGTTGACAAACTATCCATCTGTGATTAACTAATTTATCATTTATTGTTTGCTACATTTGGTCGATTCGGAAATAAAATTTTGGTTGTTTTGTGTTTTCTGAATTGTGTGATTTAGTCGAAGAGCGTTAATTGTCGTTGTGGACAGATTCATGAGCGCGTACTTCGTATAGAAGTGGTGCCGATAGCATCATTTTTACATCAATTAGATCGAAGGATGAAGGGTTCCACAGCAGGACCGCCCTTGGCTTATAATTTGTATCATGCCTGATAACCTCTCAATCACTTAGTTGAATTATCTGTAGGATTCTAACCAAAGGAGTCGTGAATGATCAATAGATACCAGTCATGTACAACTTTCTTTCATACTTCGGCACCATTCCATAAACTGACCAGTTCTACTCTCTCCAACCATTCTCAACGTCACCATATAATCATAATGCATGCAATAGCTCACATATTCTGGAATTTCTTTCATCCCTAAACTATCTCAAGTCATTGATTAGTCGAAGGTTGATTAGTATCTTTCTATTTCTTGTCATTTATTTGACATAAGCAATGTATGACATAGTTAACAATATGAGAGAAAAACAGTTTTGTATTACAGTTGTATATTTTACATATATAATTTAGGCAATAATCCAAGTATATTTTCTGTTATTACTTGTTGATTACGTTCTAGTTCTGATCATATAATTTTAGCAAAATTGATATATTGTTTATGAAACTCTATATTCTTTAGTGAACATATTTACCATCGATTACCATTTAATTTTTGAAGTTATTTTACTAGTAATGAATAGAATTAAGGTTGATATAATTTGTTTACCAAATTTAGATCTATATTTTTGGCTTTGAGCCAAACTGTTTGTGTAAGAGCTAATGGTACTACCTGATTGGCTAAAGCAAAGTGAATTAAGCTTGGCTTAAACCTGCAACCTACTGGTTGAAAGTCAAGTAACATAACTACCAAGTCACTACCACATGAAAAAATTGAGTATGTAGCAGCTTCTATTGTATTACTCACCCAAGTACTTGATCTTAACTTTTAGATAGACTTTCATAACTCAGATAGTGTGATACGTGCCACTTATATAGACGTAAGTAGCATATAACGCTAGTCAGGGATAGAATATGTGGCAGCAGAAGATCGAGAAGGAAAGAACAGGAACAGGAAGCAATTGGTATTGAAAGTCATGAATATTGAAGTGTAAGAAGATTGACTGATATTTGCAAAAGGAACAGTCAAGTTTGAGACAATTGATTGACATTTTGCAAATTAAGTATTCACTGTATGGTTCTCAGTTTGTACTAAGATGTTCTGTAATTTTGTGTTCAAATACATTCAGCTGTCCCCATTGCGTTCCCGTTCACAACAACAGTAGGTGACTTTTGAGTCATTTTTACCTTCCTAATAACTCAATACTTTCTGTACGAAACCATGACTTTCAGCACATATACCCCTTATATTCATGTCTTTGCAACTCTACGCTCGTTTGTCTTTTCTGTCTTTGTGTGTCTTTGTACACTTATTGTTTTATTCGGCGCCTTTGTTTTTGTCTCATTATGAATTATCTATTCTGAGTTACATTGACCATTGTAATGAGTAATACTTTGAATAGGTGTGTTTGTCGTCTCTATTTCCCATCTCTTCCTCTGTCTGCCGCAATGAACGTATGGAATCTAAATATCCGAGACACTCGTATTCGACTTCTAATATATGTGTTTTTACTAACGGAATTTGTTGACAGCATATACGATATAAGTAAGATCTATTTCGTTTACATTATTAACGATTCGATTGTATTGAAGTCAACTCGAGCATTGGAAGTATGATAAGTAATTGCATTTCAATTGGTACTCATGAGATTATTCTAGTAAACCTTACCGATCAGTTTTATATTCATTCTGTGTAAGTACTTAAAAGCGCAAAACTGTGATCTTTTTTAACACTGAAGGCCTATAGTGTTCTCATAACTAGAAATCAGAGACGCTATCTAGAATAGGTCCACTTAAATAAGACACGACACACATTAGCTCCTAGAATATGTTTGTTAACGGCTGTACTTTTGTAAGTACTTTCTCAGTCAAAGGTTGGTACTCCGCTTAATTTGGGTGAGGGACCAGTGTGCATAATAACCATGGTTTCTCGGAAGTGATTTGATAGGTAATAAGTCTTGCTGATTGAACGCTATACTTGGATCCTAAGGTAGTCTTGTAACCCCCAAGCTAAATCTACACAGCGACTTGAATACGAGAAAAAAGGCGCAAAATATGCGAAAAAGCACTTTACTCCAAAAGTTCATTTATATACAGAAAATATAGGGGTTTTTATAGTATTTTATAAGTCCTTGGGTTTTCCTGAAAATTCTGGAATGCCATTAAACATAGTAGCAGTGTAGTATTCAGCCAATCAGAAACTCTACATGTGACTTTTCAATTTCGTGATGTTTCTAGCAAAACTTTTACTCAAACGCTGATTGGATAAAATGCTTTATATTTCCTGAGCTTGTTATGTCTATTGCAAGAAATTTTCAGGATCGCCCCAACAATAGGAATCTAGTGTTTTGTTATGCTAAGAACATGATAATTAGCTAATGATCTGACACTTTGATCAAGTTTTCATCACCAAAACTTAAAACCCTTTTCCAATCTGTTTTCTTTAAGAAACCACAGTCATAATGGCTTTTATTAATTCAACAAAAATCTCGGTCATCTCAGTCGTACTAGTAGATTTATCAATCAGTATTGCCGTTGTAATTTCAGTATTTTTGTTTAGAGTATAGAAAAAACAGGATAAAATTGTCACTTAAATTTCCTCAAGCTTACTGGGTATCTATTTTGAACTGTTGAATTAAACTTCAGTGCATACCAAATTCTGATTTCTATCCAATAACCATACTCTTAGTGTAAAACTCAAGTGTGAAGGCTTTACAGTAGATGTGAAAATTGTACATTCTATGGTATGGTTGAAGGTGAGGAGAGCCCCTAAATGCCCTGGTACGACCGAGAGTGGGGAGAGTCCGCTCTCCCTCTCGAAATGCTCTCACATGACCACGCGAATATATAGCCTCTGCCAGGAAAGTCCTAATCACTGCCTTCTCGTGGCGGGGTTGTTGTTTACGAAATTGAGAGGATGGAAAGCGAATGTCTGGAGCATTAACCGGGTTGGTGCACATGGAAAGTCCACCTAGGGGACGTGGAAAAGCCTGATTCCAAACCATTGGTGCACATGGGTTCCAGGATCCTCAGTGAACAAATTGCGTATGAATCCGTCGTTGGTCACCGGCTACCATGTGACGGCATCTCCTCACGATGCTCCACTGCCTTATGGATCAGGCCTTTAGGTCAAGGGCTCCGAGTGTGGTCCCCTAAGAAAACCACCTGCTTCAGTCTGGGCACCTGAGCAGTATCACAGCCCTCACACAAATCAAATGAGATTTGTGAGGCGCATATATATCTGGTGCTTCCTTGTACCAATATTTATGTGTTTAAATAATAAAATAAAAGATGAGGAGAGTCAGCTCTCATTATCGAAATACCCTCACATGGCCAAGCACATACAACCACTGCCAAGGAAGTCCTACTCACTATCTTTTCGTGGCATTACTGTTGTTTACAAAATTAAGAGGACGAAAAGCAGATGTCAGGTGCTTTAACCAGGTCGGTTGATTTGGAAGATCCATCTTCGGAAGTTGGAAAAGCTTGATCCTAAACCAGTAGTTCACATGGGATGCAGGATCCTGATGGTGTATGAATCTATTATTGTTTACCAACTAACATGAGACTACATCTCCTAATGTTGCTCCACTTCCTTGTGGATTAGACATCTAGGTCGAAGGCTCGTGATGTGGCCCCCTAAGAAAATCACTTGGTTTGGTTTGAACAGACGGACAGTAATCCAGCCCACACAAATGGAATGACGAAGTGTAGCGTATATATATTCGGTGTCTCCTTGTACCGATGTTTGTGTTTAATTACACCCCTATCTAATTATTTTGCTACTGCGCTAATTTACATTAAGTCAAGAAAAAATTATTTGACACTGGCATTGATGTTTTATAGAGTATACAATAACTATTATGAATAAATATTCATAACCTGTGCATAATCCAGAATAGTTTGTATTAGGCATACTACTGTATATACTGTCAGTAGTCAAACGTTTTTAAAAAAATAATCGAGCCTAATAGGTGATATGTGAACATATCTGACGGAATAAATATATTATACGGCTAACGAAAAATAAGCAGCATATGAGATTTAAGAGCGAAATGAATGAACATAGAAAAGGAATATCAGTACTTGAGAAAATGAGCCGCTCAGATGGTTTCTTTTCGTGATGTAACTCTCTTTAGCTGTATGATTCAGTTTCAAAAGTTATCATTGCCATCCATGACAACATTATTATCGTCTACTTCTACTTGAAGTAAAGATGATAGACGATAACTAGCACTTAATGTGTGATCACATGCAGCCTGCTTTTTGCCACCTAAATTAATAACCTCAAACTTGGGTAATCATATTTAAACACTACTCAGAGTTGAGGAAAATGACGGTGGTTACCACTGCAATTCATAAACTTCTAGTATTTGGTTGTATAATAGACAGATATTATTGGTCTACTATGTATGCGGAACAATAAATTAGTTGGAAGAATATGGCATTTGTGTCTCATCTCTTTTTTTGGATCACCTATAATCTCTCCGATTAAGTAGTTCCATAAAAATGTGAGTAATGCCAACATTATAATTCAACCGAAAATAAAACACAACAAAAACAGTGGTGTGGAATTCATTCTGATTAATCGTGTAGCTCATGGATGATTGATAAGGTATTAATTACTATATCGTTTTTGTTAATCATTCCAGTAGATCGGTGAATAAATGAACGTTTCTGATTAGTGTAGGTTTACTCACTTGACATTTAATGTGCGATGATAGACCGAATCTTTAGATTGATGAAACCAAATGGAAGTTATCTTGAGCTTCTCATACAGTGAGCAGGTATCTTGTACATAGATACTCAGTAATAGGTCTCTTAAAACAGTTCTAGAGTATACTGGAATCATTCTTCTCGTGTCTGTCTCCATTTCTCGGCGTAATGTGTTATTTGGTCTTCGTCTTTTCCTTCGGCCTTCATGATTCCATGTGAGGGCTTGCTTTGTGACACAGTTGGGTTACATTTCTAACTGTTAAACTGCTTATCACTATTATCGATAGGCTATTCAGTCAATGTTGGTCCTAATTTCATCTATAATTCTTATCAAAATAACAGTATACATATTCACTGAATGAAATAAACAGATAAAATCACAGATTTTCAAAGATGACATTAATAATTACCATTAGTTTTTCTTTTTTTAAATAGTTTAATGATCAATTTTGACAGTGATTTAAACAAAAATTCATGAACCATTTAACTTGTTAATAATTGACATTTAATGATCATAATCATTCGTTTTATGGCTAATTTATCAACAAATAATCTATAATTATCATTATTATCCATAATGACAATGATAGTAATCACAATAATAATAATAACAATAGTAATAATATGAAATCGATTGTTGTAAACCTACAGGGGTTTAATATAAACATATGTTTAATCTGTCCCCATCAATAATAATAAGCATTATGTTGTTTCTACGTTGACGTGGTGGTCAGGCTTGCCTATCGTGACAAACTAATCGAGCTATACTGGCTGGAACAATCGTTCCTCAAGGTCCTACCATGCTGGACAGGTCGGTTGAAGAGC